GAGATTTTTATTCCAAATGTTCTCAACGGATTTTATATTCTACAGAACCGAAAGAAACCATTCGTGTTACAAGCTGTGCGATGAAGAATTTTATCGCATTTAAAATAAAAATAAGGAAGATCATAAACCTGCATTTAGCACAACAATATTCCAAAACAATTTAGTTTTGTGATATTCTCTGTAAAAACAATCTTTCTACAGTAATGTTTAGAGAAAAAATATTCGTAAAGACTCGAAAATATTTGCAAATTTTATAACGCGTGTTTTACAATACGCATAAAACGCATTCAGAGAACATCTCGGATGTCGCGACGTCTTTTACGACGACGTCGCGACGCGAAACACAAACGTTTCGCGAAGAGTCTCTCAAACGGATTAACACAGAGGTAACGAATCACGGAACCGCTTCTATTTTCAATCTTCTCGGAACGACTACTTGCCTTTTCACAAGCATCCACCTTTGCGAATTGCTTTTTCAGACATTTGTCGCGCAATAAATCGATCTCTTTTATGGCTGTTTTTATGTAATCAGAATCTTACACAATATGCACATTTTAATTATTTTCAATTAATTTATTATAACTGGTATCATTATTCTTTTTATAATTTTCTTATTTATATTACTCATATTGTTTACTTATATCGCACGTTTTTATTGTTACGCGCTTATTGGAAGAGCGCTAATAGTAGGAATGATAACACCACATTTGTCGGTGTTATCAGACACGATGAAATCGTGCGCGTGACGCTGCAGCGCGGAAATGCCATTGTACAATAAATATATTGACTGGCTATTTTTAACCGCGACATATCCATCTATTCCTTGAAATTTCATTATCAATAACAATTAATTTAATCAAAGAATGTTGCGCGTATAGTTATTTACGAACACATGATTATATCATCGATATTTTGGGATATCAAATAATTAGTCATTTTCGTGCTTGAGTCATCGAGTCATTCGAGATTTGTTTACTTGCGTCAATCTCAAATCAATCATCAAATCAAATAATTGTATTATTTTTAATGTTTATTTTGAATGCAGAGATGTGTTCACCTTTTCTGTAAGATATTAACTATGAGGTTAAATTAAATGATTCTATGGAAATATATATATATATATAATTATTCTTTCATGTTATAATAGAATTAATCGCAATTGTATAAAAAATATCATGAATATAATCATAAAGTTCATACAATGATATCAAAATATCGAATCTTTAATCTGCTCTAGAATTAAAAACTCGAAATTCTCGTTTTCAAGGCGACTCAACGCGATGAAATATGTGTCCAAGAATTTCCAGTGTTAATACCAGCTGACCTCCTTTATGCCACACATAACTGGTAGAAGGTGTGCGTGGAAACGCATTCTTTTTTTCGCCGCTACATAAAGCACCTTTGTTCCACGCGCTACAGATGTAATATATCATACGTAGAATTCATTTCATGAATTGCGCCAAATAATGAGAGTATTACTGTAATTGGTTCCGAAACCGAGAAAATTTATAAATTAACGCGAGTAAAATTTCAATCAAATTCTCTTTATAAACTGAATCTCTCTTTACGTCTAATTTATTGTCGTATTATTAGATATTTATTTTATTTCCACTATATCTATTTTTTTCATGTTTTTGTTTAAAATATTTTTATATTTATGTAAACTTTATTATAATTAAAAATTTCTGACGATTATACTTTGGAATTAATGCATGAAATTGTATCACTTTTTCCAAAGAATTTTTAGGGAATATCCAAAGAACTTTTCGTTTATCGCTTGTTGTTTTTCACACGGTATATATAGCGTTATAAAGTAGAAGGCGCGAAAGAGAAGTGGACACACAACACACCGCCACGAAAGATTAATCCGATAGACAGCAACGAATCTTACCGGTTTTAAAGTTTGTCTCACATTTCTACCTACTTACTCAGATCAATAATTTACTGATTAAACAGTCACGACATTTCTTAATTACTAATAAATTGAATTAAACAACTAATATTAAATATGTTTTGTTCTCGTCTTAATATTATTAACTTAATCTGATGTAAAAACCAATTTATTTTGAAACCATTATTAAAGAATTAAAGACATTACCGATTGTGAACGCGACTTTATACGTTGTGTGCACGACGACTAAATCATATTTGAATCTTTGTGTTTAGTGAGACCCAAGACGCCTACAACAATCTACCAATATGTTTTCTCTCTCAGTGATAGTTTCGATCGCTTCAGGCGTTCGGTTTTCACAAAGAAATCGGTTTTCACGCTGATTGTGCCACATAATTTCCTCTATCGTCAGAAATTTACCCCATCATCAAAATCTCGTTAAAGAACATCGAAGATTGAAGTTAATTATAAAATAGTTATAACGATATTTTCAAATATCGTTATAATTATTTTTATATAATTTGAAAATAATTATAACGATATAATTTACTTTTATAATCAACACAAAGATTGGAAAAAGAACTCGTTTTTTTAGAATTTCTATTTTTAATTTAAATAAATTTCTATATTTAACAAATATTTTTAATAGCTTTTATTAGTAGAAAACGTTTTGAATGTAATATTGAAAGGAATATTTGAAATCCTATTTTATATTTTATCCATCAGTATTTAACTGTGCATCTTTTCGAAATTCCTTATTTCTCTTCGAGTGTTTGAATCTCGACGATTGCTCGATAGCTTATGAGTAATGAAAAGATCGATCTCGAGCAGGAGCGAGAGCAATACCGCCGTTGAAGCGGCGTGTTCTAAATTGTTATCGCCGCTAGGCACAGGAAAAAGCCACTCGCGAACGCTATTTACGACCGCTGTAAATCTAACGGCGCCGAAGAGCGCGATGCGGCCGCCGCGACGCAATGCGACAAGAGGCATGAAATATATCCACGTTTATTCCCTAACTTATCGAGACTCTCTCTTCTGATACTCGTCTATTCACCTTACAAACCTCACATCAAAATCTTTATGCTCTGAAAACTTTGAAGATGATCTCTCGAGAAAATCCAACTCTCGACCTTAATTCTCAAATTTCTCTGACCGGAATGAGAAAGAAAATTTTGAAGCAAGACTCTTCTATTGTGAAGTATTTTGTTCAATTATATATCTATTAAATTATATAAATTCAAAGTATTATAACAATATAGATTTCCGGCATATGCTTCAAGGACACCCGGTATACTTTCGCCGAAATTCCACGACTGCGAATTTCCTCACGTACCTCGTTGGACCGCATTCCGGTCTTTGTGTCGCTCTCTTCTCGCAGACAGTGCAAGGCTTCTTTCTTGCGATTGATGCCGATTTACGGCGATCGAGTTAAACGGTTTCCGCTGATGATATCTTGACAAAATAGCATCGAATGATTGTCTATATTTCAAAGAGACGTAGATAAAGAGAACGCTTTCTTTATGCAATTGTGTACTTTATCATTGTAAAATTTGATATATAAAATGGTTGAAAATCTCTTAAATATTTTGAACAATGTATTAGAGCATCGAAAATTCCAAAAATATCTCTAAAGAGATAGAGTCCTTAAAAAATTCCTTAAATTTTTGTAATCTTTGAAAATTCTAAAGTAAAACGTTACGAAATTATAATAGTTAAAAAGTTGACGATAAAGGTATCAAAACTGTAAAAAAAAACTATCGCACACTTGCAGTCGACATTTTGGAAAACTTAGTTCGAATTCTTTAAGCGATGCTTTACTATTTGCTTCGAACTAGAGATAAGAGAGACTCGACATTTTTTTTAAACTAGAGTACGCTAAAAAATTATTTTTATTCAAATCTTTTTTTGCCTTTCTTTCAACAGTTGAACGTGCAATTTGTAGAGTTATTCGAGTTGCATAATCTGTTATTACGATCAATGAAAGGCGGCTTAGAAAAGTGAATTCCATGATGATTCCGCCAACTGTTCTTTGGTAAGCTTTCTATAACAAGTGCTTACAAAACACTTCGCTAAATGCACTTTCATCCATACACTCTGGGTGAGGGAGGGAAACTTACGTAACGCAGTAGTGATGGATCTGACAAAAAGCATCTCTGTTATCGCCATTCTGGGAAATGAGTATTTTTAATTGCCTTACTCTGCTTGTCCTATTTCTTTCTAGGTTAAAAGAATCAATTTTATGAGAAATATAATCCTCCTAGAATCATACCATTAATTAAAATGTTTTCTTAACCCTTTTAATGCTATAATTTTTATTTTATTGAATTCGACTTTTCTCAAATATTACGCTTTATTTTCTTTATTCACTTTTTATGCTAAATTAATCTCCAAATTTATACTTGTATCCAATGAAAAAGAATTCATCTAGTTCTTTTTATTTATTTCTCTTTATTTTTTATATCTTATTTACACATTTTTCTTTAAATTATATGTTGTTTTTGCCAGCAAGATTTTATTTTATATTATTTATTTGGTTTCACTTAAATTTAATAAGTTAATTTCATAACTTTGTTTATCGTTCATTAGATTTTCTTTCCAATATAATTATTTAACTGAATATTTTTATTAACGAACAGCGAAAAAAGTGAGATTTGTAAACTTTATTTTTGTGTATTGCCATTTAAATCCCAGCGTTCTCGTGTCCCTTTAAATCGCCGGAGCACGTGTATGCGCGGTTCGTAAATTCGCGGCGACGCGCACGTCACGTGAGACGGTGTCATGTGACCTACGTGTCGCGTCGCACGCTCGCTTAGCGCCACTCTTCAGTGCAATCGCGACCGGCGCGCGCGATGCTTGTCAATAATGGATTTACGTCGTTGCTCTTTGTGCTAGCCGCCACCGGCACGCGGAACGTGACGTACTATTCGTTCGCACGACCTCGGTTCTTTCATCGACTCGTCGTAACGCGGTGGCGGTGCAATCCGTTCGTTCTCGGAACCTCCTCTTCTCGATCGTCGCCGACTCGCTTGTCGCCGATCTCCCATCACCGCGGTGTGTGGACCACGTAGCGATCCAACACGTCGAATATCAGCTGAGTGCGCACCTTTATCTCATCTTTTAACGAGCTATCGCGTTACGTGAAAATCGGAGCAAATTCGTATTGCGAAAATATTCAAAAGAATTATATGTGTTCGGAGAATTCTCCCCTCTATCTTCGGTGCGTGGATCTTGGGATGATCAGAGACAGCCGCGTGTCATGCTATCGAAGAGAGGAGAGCGATATCAGGCGGTCGCACGGCCGTCACTGTTCCTCTCGCACGGTAGAGTATCATGCCGGTTGTCTTTGTCTGCTACATGCTTCGTGCGGCACATCAAGTGGCCGCTCGCACACACAAAAGATACGCAGCTGAATTCCGCGAATGCAGTTTCCGGTTTCTGTAGGATCTCTTTAAACTGACCTGGCCTTTGTTAAATCTGAATTTTTCACTTCTGTCGAGTGTTTCTAGTCTCTTTGTTTGTTAATTCTTTATTAATTTCAATTCTTAATATACGTTTTAAAGAGATGCGGAAAAGAGATCTGGCTTTGCAGCGATCCATTTTGTTAAATCGTATTTGTTTTTCTGTCAATCGTACGACAGAAGATAGCACGATACCAAAGATTGCCTGAAAGATACCGGATATTGCGCTTTGCATCGCACGCGCCCGACTTATATGCACCCACGCCTATGCAAATCCCGCGGAATTATTGAAAGAGTGCATGTGTGGAATGCAACGTATCGCCCATCCACGCGTGTTTTGCGATAGTTGCACTTGTCTCGATTATGTAGTTGCATTCATGCTGCAAAACAAGCTTGCCCCGCAGCTGGTACACAGTACTACGGAATATTTTGACATATTTGACTTCTCATTATCTCTCTTTCTCTCGCTCTCGCTTAAATCTTAAATATTGTTGAAAATTGATTAATTATTTTTATTTATTTATTTATTTGTGCAAAGTACCCGGAAATTAGAAATATTTAAATGAGAAGTATCTAGCATCGATTGTAAGAAGAAGAATAAAAAATGGCATTTAATATCTAAATATTAGTTTTATTTATTTTTATATATTCTATTTACATTTATTTGCATATGTTGTTTATTTTATTTCATGTATCAATTATTTGCATAAAAATTTTTAAAATTTTAATTTTTAGAATCGCCCTTGAGACGTAAAACAAAATGTAATTATTAAATGTATTTGAGCAAACATCCAGCGTTTTTATCAACTTTGAACGGCCTCAAGCATTCTCGATAGCATTTCCGTCGGCGAGCTTAGTATTCCGCATAGACGGAGGAATCGCTCTATGCGAGACTAGAAAGCTTGATCACCTTAGGAATCGGAGCGTTTTATCGCGAGATCCGGGTTCGATTGCGCGGGTTTCCTTGCGCGAACTTTTTATTATACGGACGCGCGTGGGTTCACTTTGCATATTTCACTCGTTTACGGGCGCAACGCGTAGTTTCGCAGTACGAGTTTAATGCACACTCGTTGCTCGAGATTTGCCCGTTCTGGTCTTGCCAAAGCCGCGCCGCCAATCGCTTCCTCAAGCCTATTATTAGGTCCTTGTGCAGCAGTCAGCGAATTCTCACGACAAGTATGCGCCAAATTAATTAGCCTGCAATTCTATGGAGAATAAAATATCCCTCTTAATTGATAGGTCTACTTTGGTAGTAAAATAAATTATCATAAATATTGTATTACAAGTGCGAATATTGCGAAGAAAATCTCGAGAGTTCATCGCGGAATTTTCATTTGCGCAGTACTCATCTCGATTTTTATTGCGATTTTATTAATGATCTACATCTGTTGCAGATGTCGGAGTTTCCAGTGGAGGCAAGCGACAACGGAGACATGCATACCGTCATGGAAAACTTCCAGAAGAAAAACAATTTAATGGCCGGTAGAACGCACCACATTACCCATCATCCACAGGTCACCACCACATCGTCGCAGGTTAGTATCTATTGTACATGCTTCCTTTCTCTCTTTCTTAAATACATATTTGCGTATATTTTTCAACTGCGAAACGCTATCGCGAAAAAAAAGAAATGATTGGTATATTTCCACAGCAATTGATACCGCCTTGTTGAATATTTCTGATTATTGACACGTAAGGTAATTTTAATTTTAAAACGATTCTTTTTAATTTACTACTACATATTCATTTATTTACGTTGTGGCACGTTTTTTTTATATCAAGGTCTTTTTTTATTATAAATTATATGTTAACTGTTTATTGTATTGGTTAGTCCAGCTATTGATTAAATTTTTTATCACAGTTTATTATCTTCGAATATAATAAGTGAAATTTTTTACGTGCAATATTGAATCAACTAGTCGGAGCTTTACACATTCGTATCTTAGCACACCTAGCATCTTCGTGTAAATTCATCAGAAACGAGTCGCAATATGCAATATTTATTTGGCCTCGCTGCTTCGGAGAAACACGATCGTTGCGATCGTTTCACGATTATTTCTTCTAATTTGAGGATTACACGGCATTTAACATGCTAATATAAGCAATAACATTAGAAGTGATCTAGAGATGTCGCGACGCCTCTGACGCCCACATCTGAGACGGATTTCCTGAAAGTGAACACGGAAATTTCGAATTATTCACCCATCATGATTCTATCACAGCGAGTCACTAAAAGCGCTGAAATAATAACTAAAATTACCGTCATCGCGGATACAAGCTAGACTGAAGCCTAGCCGATGACATTTTGTATTTATATTTGCGTCCAGTTAATTTTTTTACTTTCTTTAATTAATATCTAATTCTTAATTAAAAATTATGATTAATGAATTATATTTTTACAATCTTTATACAGCTTCCAAAATGAAAAAAATCAGTTGCGTTATATTATGCAAAATTACAACAAAAATTAAGAAGGAAACACTTTATTTATTTAATGAGATTGATTTGAATCACAAACAATTAATAAAACTTAATTATCGACTAAAAATAATCAGTGAAACGTATCTTTAATAGCGGATATAAATTTTTTATTTCTTTAGCGAATTTATTTCTTATCACACAAGCCGGGTTCGAATCGGATTTGCATTTAGTGCTAAATATGGAAAATAAATAGAAACTCTTGAGTTGAGCCGAGCATTACTTGAACATTAATGATACGTGGCACACGTATCGCGATTCAATATTGAAATGGTTCCGTTCCATTCTTGTCGGTCCATCTTCGATCATCGAACAGACAGAAACGATCGACCGTACATATTTGCGCAACGTGGTCACCCACGTGCATTTTTTCTATCAGAGACGCAAACTACATACCGCGTTTCAAGGTCCCTTTTCTTACCATTTCCTTTCGAGAGAACGTTGCCTCTTTCTAAATTTAGCAGGTCCTCTTCGTCTTCAGACTCTTTGGCCGAGTCATCTTGCGTCTCGTAATGACTACTGGCGAACTGCCAGCAATTATTGTCGTAATATTACCGTTGCATGAATGCTGTTTACATTTTTTTTTCTCCAAATTTTTCTAATTTAATTTCTTGAAGAATTATTTGTAAGAATTTTATAGAGCGAACTATTTAACTTTGTAATTTGAAACATTGGCTTGCTCTAAAAGATTTCTCATGTTTGTCGATGAGTTGAAAACGTAAAATATGTTTCTCAATTGCAATTCTTTTTAATTCCAGTAAATTAAAAACATAATAGCATATTTTTCGTATTTTATAATTTTGACAAGATTTTTGTTGCTAGCAAAAATGATAAAATAACCATTACATGGCTTTAAACAATATTATTAATGATAGGCTGTATCAATTAGTCTTCATCAGAATGATAACAATACATCGCACGTGATAATTAAATGAATGAAAATCCAGAAGCTTAGTGAATTAACTATATATGGCTGTAAACTCAAAAGCTCTAAGAGCCAAAATGAAAAAGAGAGAGAGATAGAGATAGAATAGGGGGGCGAAGCGAGTGAGTCATCTCATACGGATCTTAAATAGAACGAAAACGACTTTTGACTCGGTAGATGCTGACGACAAACCAGAGCCAACATCAGAGTAGTAGCAGCACCAGTACCAGTACTAGTAGCAGCAGCAGCAGCACAAGCAGCAGAGTGGCCAAATCCTCGCAGAGGATTCTCACCTCGTCCTCGTCGAGTGAGATGAAGGCGAGCTCCATGAAGAGCGATCTGACGGAACTCCAGCGCGGCATCTCGGAAATGAAGAACATTTCAACCAATTTCTCGCAACGGCTGCGCAGCAGCATGGAGAATCTTGTGGACAGGTTGGTTTTTAAATCGACTAACAGATTGAATCTTCGAAAGATAATTTCTTGGAAGTAAAATCAAGAAAATTGGATCTAACCTTTGGATTAAGTTTCTGAAATTTTAATTCTTGAAAAAGATCAAATTCTTGAGGAATTAATTTAATTTTTGAATTATTGGTAAAAACAATTTTACGAATTTTTAATAAAATTTCGTATTTTGAAACAGTGATCAACGGAGATTTGATGCTTTGAAGAAGTATTTTACGGATTTAATATGAGTGTTTCGTGAAAATAATCCGCGATTTTATGTTTAATGTCACCGATATGTTTTGAACTATTTTGACGTAGTTATTTTTAGTAATTGACGTAATTATTTTCAAATTTTCTTCATGCTCTAAATTGGTCACTTAAAGATAGTGAAACATAAATTTTACATTTTATAAGATTCCATGACTTTAATTGTTAGCAATAATTCAAAAAATCGTTAACTTTATCTTCCAATAAAAATTTCGAGGTTTTTCATTTTCAATCTCTAGTTACTGAAAGTAATTCTTTTTTTTCTAAAAATGGAAACACACGTTTACACATAACTAAACCTTTCGTAACTTAAGCGCTCCGACATGCGTGACGAATATTTGTACATGTGTAATTCTGTTTGACGCTATTTTTGAGGCAGATTATTTTTAACGTATTGCTCACGTGTCGTTTTACGTCCTACGGAATGCGAGATAATCTTTCGTTGCGATTATATTTGAAGATATAAATAAAGAGCAGTACAAAATTACTAATCTGTATAAAAATAACGTATGTATACTTAAAACACTTATTATATAAGAATCTATCAAAACATATTGCGATGTATATTTTATTGACGAATTTTCTTCATAGAATGATCCATTCATTTGTGAGAAAAAAGCTGACTATATAGAATAAAATTGTTTTGCATAAGGTTTTCTTCTTAAACTTTTGAGGTGGTCAATTTTTAGCAAAATTGATATACATTCAATTTTTCTAATTCTTCAAAATTTCGTCTTATTGCAGAGACGGCAATGGACCGGAAGAGACCGATCTCACAGAACCGCTGGTGACGTTTCCCGATCCTGACACGCCACCACCTGTCAGCGATGCTGTCACATTAGCAGGTTCTCCGTCCCAGTTGAGTTCTCTAAATTCCTTGAACAATCTTCATCACAGTATAAGCCCACCGATGAACATACCAAACATAGCAAATTTACCTGCTGGACAGGAAACTATGAAGTTCGAACAGAAAAAGATGACTAGCGCCTCGAAGACAAAGGTGAGCGATGGTTTTTTGTCTTTACATTATTGATATTTATCATTTTTTTTTATTTAACAATTACCAATTTCATATTTCTTACGTTCAAATAAGTTGAATATGAAATTATTAATTGGAGAAGAATATGCGAAATTACATTTTTCTGATAGCTGGAATTTCGTAATGTCAAAAACAGAATCGATGTTACGCACGCTATCAGCACGTGGACTCGTCGTTCGGCGGGTGCTCGCAAAACAACGTGCGCCTAAAAATAAATATTTGATAAGAATTTTGCGGAATAATTTTGCTTCAATCTACCGAGTCGTGTTCGATAGGCGACGTTATGATCAGCAACAATGTTAGAGCGTGAGGCGAATGTTTGACGGCAGAGGTGCGGCTTCCTCCAAGTAGTCTAGGTCAAGGACTACGAGTCTATCTTCAAGTGGCCGCACTTTAGCAGCGTAGAATGCTTCAAAATCAACTAATTTGACAATTTTCATTCTTCTCTCGCGCTTCATTGTTGATCTGTTTTTATTAGGTTGTCACGGATGGATTTAGCGCTGAGAAAGCGACGGCGAACAGCGCCGAAATGAGGGCCCTGCAAGCTGGCGATGTCTCGTACAAGGAACAAAGCGCCGCGACTGCGGCAAGGGCGCGCGTCGAGCTTGACGGCGTCTCGGCGGAGAAGAGCGTTGCTGCCGCGAGGGTGAGTGAAATTTACACTTGAATAAATAAAAAGATTCTCAACGAATCAAGCTAGAATTTGATTAAAAAATTATATCAATTATATTTATACAAAATAATATTAAAAATGTAAAAAGAAATTTGGAATTAAATAGAAAAATTTAGACAAATACGAGGAAATAAAAAATAGAAACAAATAAAAGAAAGAAATTAAAAATTATTATTCAAACTTATTCTATTGCAAGTAAATGTAAAAAATAATTGTTATTTTAAATACCGCTGAGAAAATCACGAATGATATAAGCATCGTAATTACGCAAAAAAGTTACGCAATCCAATGATTAAAGACTCGCGCGCGCGCGCGCGTTTATATAATATTTATTTATTAATTATGAGACTTATTAACTTAAAAATCGCAACATGAGAGAATAAAGGAGGATTTTCTAAAATTGTCTCCATCGAAGCTCCATTTCGCTCTCTTATAAATCGACTTGTAAACTTGTCTTGTTTGGGCAATAAAAGAGTTGAGAGGAAAGACTTTGTGGGTGCGGCTCACGCGCGGTGAACAATTTGGCACGAGGCTCGTGGCAGCGTGCAGAAACCCGCGAGTAAGATGCTATTGCGGGGGTCGTTGACACATGTGTACGTTGCATTTTCCTTAACTGTGTTGTCCCATCGCGGTGTAACGAAAGCTGCGCGCCGTACGTGCATTCTAAATGTGCAAACGGGACAAAATATAATACTTTCTTTCGTTTTGATTTCGTGCAATCCGCGCTGTTAAATTTGTTAAGTATAAATTGGATATAATAACTGAATGCATTGATTATAATAATAAAATTTGAATATATTGAATATATATCGAATATACATCAATACA